CTAACCTTTATTTTGCCTCAGATTATATAAAAACTTCTTTTGAGGCTGATTTCATTCATCCTCAGAGTAAAAATCATGTATTCACACTTGGCAGCCATTTTATCCTTAAGAATTCTACATTCTCCATGGCAATAAATGAATTATTGCATCATATATAGCTAATACTTCTAAAGGTCACCCTTTCTCTAAGTGATAGGTAAAGCTGCTTGTAATTTTCAGTAAAATTATAAGTGAATATAAAATTTTTTAACTTTAAAAAGCTTTTGGAGTAGTAGATATGTGAGGTATGTTTATGGTATTTGTATATACAAATACATATAGTGTCAGATATCTGCTAAGGACAATAATAAAGTCAATATTCTTGAAATCTGATCACTTAATATTTTTAAAAATTCCTATTTCTTGAGTACATTCGATGTGTCAGGCACTGCATCAAGTACCTGAGAAAATGTCCTCATTTAGTTATTATTACTTCAAAAGGCAGAGATTGTGTCCCATATTAGGATCACAAAATCAAAGTTACAGAGAGGATAATCATACCAATTCTTTCAAAACTCCAAGTTAACAAACTTCAAAGCCATGCCTAATTCCATAGAGGTATAAGAATGCTCTTTTCTCCCAATACTGAGGAATTAAAAACTATACAAAAAATGTTTAAAAATAAACAGGTTTTAAGTCATCTTAACTCACACAGAACAAGCAGTATACTGTGTAATACCTATAGAATTAAATCAATAAAGACTGAGAATTTCTATGTGCTTGACAGTTTTCTGGAAGCCTTAAAAAAGCAATAATATACTGGCACTTTATAATGAATTTGACCTCAGCAGTGTGCTCAAAAATAATGTCCTGGAACACAGTTGTTAACCTCCCTACACTGACTGCATTCTTTCTCTCTAGAATGATTTCTTGAAATTGATCTTAAGTAGAGATATTTGGCTACCATTATCTAGTTAAATTATATTACTACTAGGGAAAAAAAAGAAAAGTACCCCATTATCTCGTTCTCTTCCTCTATCAAATCATCTATCATTTGTCAAAGTTCAGTAACCTTTTACAGATAGGTATGAAATTATTATGATTATCATCATTTCCCTTCCCTAACTGTATACAAACTGCAGAGTTCCCAGTCTGCAATAGCTTGCATTCATTAAGAAAACACTTATGAAACATTAATGTAAGTCTGTTACATACACTAGAAACTATTACTCAACATGGTGGGGAAAATTTTAATCACAGCATCAAGAAACTCTTGCATTCTGTCATTCGCATTAAAACTTGTCCTAGATAAGATATCTTAGCTCTCACTGTGTTCCATGAAACAACAAAAAGATTCATGGTCAAGTAATTTTACATATTAAACAGACTAATTTTACTCCAGATCTTCTTGGAATCTTTAAATATACATGCATTGTCCCTCTAGCGGTGCCAACAATGGGACTGTGCAAATATTATAAAATATACACACACTGTGGCTTCCCCATCATCTTTTCCCTCCCTAGATCACTTAAAAGACCACTGCTATTCTGTTAACACAAGGGTTGGCCATTTCAAACTTCACCTAATAAATTACGAGAGGGAGCAACAGAAGGCAGGCAGTTCAAGCAGGAGTTTGAAAAAGCGACAGTTCCACCCTCTCTACTTTTCCCTCCTCCAAGTGTACAACAGAGAGAGGTAGCCTATTCAGCTCTGGTTTAGAATCAAAGAGGACATGTGCAGAGGGAAGTAAAACATTAACTCAAGCCAGAAACATTCACTGCTACAAACTACTAAGATTTGAAGATTCTTTGGATAATTAAACAAAACTGCTTAAGGAAACTGATACAGCATGTTTCCTAGATTTATTGGGCTCTGGCATCCTTCACCCAAGAAATGTCTTCTAGAACTTGTTTCCTAAATTAATTAGCAAATTTAAAACATTTCCAAATTCAATTTTATTTAAAATGTACTATACTCAAAATCCTCTGGTCTCTTTTATAATATAGGCCAGTGGCTATACCCAGAGGAAATGGAAAGTGGGGTCCAAACAGAAACGCTTCAGTGGGGGCACACAGGGCTAATGCTGGGGTCATTAGGATTTTATACTCAGTGATATTGGGGGTGGGACCATATGGTGCTGGAGGTCAAACATGTCTTAGACTTGTGTTCTACCACTTGAGCTAAGTTGTAAACCCTTCAACTCCTCTTTTGGATTTGTACATAAAAATATATTTAAATTCTCAGTATCAATATTCAAATATTCTGTATCAGTCATCCTGACCAAGTAAAAGGATAATCAGCTATACTCATAACTGGTATTCTTAATCCAGAATTTTAATTTCTAATTTAATTGAGCCTTACAGGATAGCACAGGAGGAGAAAAATGGTAACTGAATCACAATCTTTTCATTGGCATATAACACCTTGTTTTGTTCAAATATCCTAATAAGCAGACTAAATCAAGCTAAATTGCAAACATTTTTGCTGTGTGCATAATCTTTGAGGATGGCATTCAGTAGAATGGGTCATATCATAAATGCAATACTCAATTATATACATACTGAAGAATTTCAAACATATTCTAGAGATTTAGCAAGTCAACAAAAATATTTGAAATGCAGAAGATTTAAGATTAATTTAACATCAAAATTAGATAAGTTCATGTTCTGAGAATTGTTAATGAACAATTTTATATATATATTTCACTTTATTTTATAAAAAGTACTTTATAAATAGATTCACCATAGTGAAGTCATTAGTTATCACACTTTGGTCATAGACTGGGCAAAAAATACATTAAGAAACCACCATTAAAATTAATACGTAGGGCTGGAGAGATAAGTACAGGGGTTAAGGAGTTTGCCTTGCATGTGGCTGACCCTGTTTGATCCCTGGCACATCCTATGTTCCCTAAGCACTGCCAGAAATGACCACTGAACACAGAACTAAGTGGTAAGCCAGGAGCCCTGATGGATGTGGCCTCTCAACAATAAAAATTCATATTTTAAAAGCATTGAAATTTTCTTGAATACCTTTAACACCTCTGAATTTCAGTGTGGTATAATATGTCATATAGAGTATAAAATTGCAACTTACTCATTTGTTATTTTCATATTCAAAAGTGTTCTTAATGTCATCACAAATGCCAATCATCTTTTTTTTTTTTTTTTTAGTGAAACACCATGAGGTACAGTTGTAGACTTAACAAACTTTCATGCTTGGGTTTCAGTTATACAATGATTGAGTACCCATCCCTCCACCAGTGCCCATTCTCTACCACCAATTATCCCAGTAACCCGCCCACCCGCTCCACCCCATCTCCCCCCACCCCGCCCCACCTCTGTGGCAGAGCATTCTCTTTTGCTCTCTCTTTCCTTTACGGTATTGTAGTTTGCAATAGAGGTATTGAGTACAGTCGTGTTCGTTCTATAGTCTACTTTCAGCACACATCTCGCATCCTGAGCAGGTCATCCAAACATCCTTTATTTGGTGTTCCCTTCTCTGTCTCAGCTGCCTTTCCCCCCAGCATGTGCTGCCAGCTTCCAAGCCATGGAGCAGGACTCCTGGTAGTTATCTCAACTATTCTTGGGTATTCGACTCCCATTCTGTTACTTTATATTCCCCAGATGAATGCAGTCTTTCTATGTCTGTCCCTCTCTTTCTGGCTCATTTCGCTTAGCATGAGACTTTCCATGCAGAACCACTTGTATGTAAATTTCATGACTTCATCTTTTCTAACAGCTGCATAGTACTCCATTGTGTAAATGTACCAAAGTTTCTTTAACCAGTCACCTGTTCTCGGGCACTCGGGTTTTTTCCAAATTTGGGCTATTGTGAACAGTGAGGCAATGAACATAGAACTGCAGATGTCATTTTGACTGCACTTTTTTGCCTCTCCAGGATATATTCCCAGGAGTGGTATTGCTGGGTCAAATGGGAGCTCAATTTCTAATTTTTGAGAATTTTTCATACTGTTTTCCAAAAGAGCTGAACCAGTCAGCATTCCCACCAGCAGTGAAGGAGGGTCCGTTTCTCACCACATCCACGCCAACACCAGTTGCTTTTGTTCTTTTGGATGTGGGCCAGTCTCTGTGGTGTGAGATGATGATTGTTTTGATCTGCATCCCCCTGACACATGTCAATTATCTTAATAGGGATTTAGGTGTGCCTCCCAAGCAAGGCTCAGGAGAGCAGGAGACCAAATCCATGGTAGTTGGCCATTTGGTGAGATAAAGCTCTAGCCCGGTGATGCAGTGCTGCTGGGACCAAACTTGGGTTCCAGGTACCTCTAATACCTGTGAGTTCCCTTTTTCCCACTGTTTTTCATTGTTTTTTTTTTTTAAGCTTCATAGTGATTTGCTTCTTTTTTTTTCTCCTTCAAGTAGTGCCAGATTGTAAAACCACGATGTTATACATGTAAAATATGTGCTCTACACTGGAACCACACCTCAGCCCCTACTCCATTTTCTTGGCAAGTTCCTTTCTTGTTTTGGTCGGGACAACATAGAGTTCACACCTAGCAGTGCTAAAGGCTAATCCAGGCTTAGTGTTCAGAGATCACTTGTTGTGATGCTCAGGAAACCATGTACTACCAGGGATCAAAGCCAGGGCTATCATCTGCAAAGCATATTCTCCAACTCGTGCCCCTGGACCTGAATTTTTAAATTCAAGCCAAAAGTAGTATGAAAACCAGCTTTGAGAAAGTATGCCAATTTGATACTGACTTGTGTACATCATCTCTATGTATTGGCTTTCACATAAGTACATTACTGTAAAGAAACAAAAGATTCAAAGTGATTTTTTTAAATGAAAAATTTAAAAGTGAAATGTAACTTACCTAATGTTGGAGATTAAAATGTCACTTTAAAAAATAAAAATTTAAAAAAATAAATACACATCTACCATAGTTCCCTGATTAACATGGAATGTAAATCCTTTGAAAGGAAATAAGTTAAGACCAACTCTTGACTGCTTCACTGCTTCCAGGTAAGTATATAAAATAAACTCAGTGGTGTTCTTACCAGTCAAGTCAAGACTTTCCATTGTGAGTTCAATGGACCATCAGAACTTCCAGCTTCTGTGATGCAGCAGGATTCTACAAAAGATCATATAGCAAAATGGTTAAAATGGTGAGAGCCACAAAGGGCCTTCAGATAAAAATGGCACTTGGTCTCCTTTAGCAATCCTTAATTACTGGAATAATAATTATTAACATCAAATAATTTCACAAAATTAAATTAATATCCAAGTGATAAAAACCAGAAAAAATATTAAACATCTCTTGACTCTCTTTGGAGAACGTAGTCTAGCTTATTGCTAGTTTTAAATTAACAAGACATTCACTAAAATTATTCAATTGGAATTCTAAAATTAAAGTTATAGTCACTTATCATTTTTAGCAAACAAGATGTACACAGTAGTTAAAAGAATATTTTACACTGATAATATTAAATATAGATACCTAAATTATATCATATCCAGGAATTAAATTTTAGCTGGAGCGATAGCACAGCGGGTAGGGCGTTCGCCTTACAAACAGCCAACATGGCCGACCCGAGTTCGATTCCTCCGCCCCTCTCGGAGAGCCCGGCAAGCTACCGAGAGTATTCGATATGCCAGACACAGTAACAACAAAGTCTCCAATGGAGACGTTACTGGGCCCGCTTGAGCAAATCGACGATCAACGGGAGGGCCTTTACCTTTTACCTTTATATGAATTTAATTTCTAAATTAATTTAATTTCTGGAGTGCTTCAGTGGTAATACTAAGTTTACATTCTGATAAAAGAGGCAGTTTCCTGACACCATGCCTGCAGATTATGACTACTTCTAAATGATCAGTAAGTTGCAACATGTCCAAAATAGAAATCAGGTATATTTTCTGTCTTAAAGCTGTATCAAAGGTATTAGTCATTTTATGACGGATTTTATTTCTTTCCCTGAATCAGTCACTATAAAACATAAGAACTCTTCTACATTAAATATCAAAAATGTAAAATGATTCATCTCCATAATCTCATCTAGATATAGATGATTCAGTTGTCATGCAGTGCTACTGATGAAAACAATAGCTAAAAAGAATAAGAATGAATAAAATATTAAATGGTCTCATGTGGCTCCACACAAGATACCACTCATTCATCCTTATTTTTTTTTAAGACAGGGTACAAACGAAAAAAATCCAGCCATTTGAAGTAAACTATACCCAACAAATAATTTCTATGTTTTTACTAAGAATACAATTCTAAAAGATGATAAAATCAATGATATACAGGTAATTCTTTATTATAAAATTAACATTTCAAATGCGCCTTTTAAAAATCACATTTGCTATTGTATTTATTCACAAACATTTTCTTCATGAGGTCTATAAAGCTAAATAGGAAAATGTCATTGGACTATTATAAAATAAAAGGAAAAACTGTGAAATAAATAACTATAAACAACTGTCAAATAAATTGGTATAAACTAAAAATATAAATGTAACTTTGTACTGCCAAAATTGGGAGAAAAGTTTCACCATTTGTTTTGACAAATATGGGTTTGATTCTATTTTGGCTCCAAGATTTGTTTACTTTATATTTTAAGAAGTGGGCAGATGGGCCAGAAAGACAGCTCAATGGGCTGAGCACATGTTTGCACGTGAAAGGTCCAGGTTCAATCCTCAGCCTCACAGAGTCTCCTGACCAACACTGGAAGTGCCTCCAAAACACAAAGCTAAGAACAGCCCTGAGCACTGCCAAGTATGGCACAAAAATATGGAAAAAATTCAGTTTAATTTTATTTTATTTTCAGTTTCTTGGTCACACCCAGTTATGATTAGGTATTATTCCTTGCTCCGTGTTCAGGGGACCACATGCAGTGCCAGGGATGGAATTCAGGTCAGAGACATGAAAGACAAGTGCGTTAACTCATGTACTATTTTTCTGCTGCTTAAAAAAATAATTAAATCATTTGTTATTTGAGAAATAAAATACACTAATATATTCTATGTGATGCTTCTAGGAGATGAACTTCCAACTATACGATAAAACTGCAATAATCTAAACACAGTGGTACTGGAACAAGGATAGACTCTCAGACCAAAGGCATAGAATTGAGAGTCCATTGACAGTGTCTCAGGTAAACAGACAGTTAGGACAGCCTCTTCAACAAATGGTATGGGGAAATTTGTCAGTCACATAAAAAAGGTGAATCCACAACTCTTTTAACACTATGCACAAAAATCAAAATGGATCAAAGACCTCAGTCCTCAATATCAGACGTGAATCCATAAACTATTTTGCGGGAAACATGGTAGAACACTTCATGACATTGAAGCTAGAGGTACTTTCAATGCTTCAGTGTCACTGGCCAAGCAAAGCTAAATAGGACTACATCAACAAGAAGATATTTCTGCACCACAAAAGAAAAGCTGATCAGAAAAAATGGCACCTCACAGACTGGGAGAAAATATTTATCCACCCCTCATCTCATAGAGGGTTAATATCCAAAACATAGAAATCACTAGTAGGACTTTACATGAAAAAAGGCAACCAGGAACAGAGAGTATAGAAAGGTGCTTGTCTTGCACGTGTTCAACCCGGGTTCAATCCTAGGTACCCCAGATGGTCCGATGAAATCATAAGTAGTGATCACTGAGCACAGAAGTAAATCCTGAGACCCACTTGTCTGTGGACCAAAACACCAAAATAAGAAAAGGAAAAAGAAAAAAAAAGAAAAAACAACCAACCCCATCAAAAACTGGAGGGAAGGGATGAAGAGAAAATTCCTCAAAGACATACAATGGCCAAAAGGAATATGAAAGAAAAAAAGGGGGGTGGAATTCCAGTTACTTATCATCAAGGAAATACAAATCAAAACAAGGCATCAACTCATACCAGTGAGACTGGCACAAATCACAAAGAATGAAACAACCAGTGTTTGCATGAATGTGGGGGATGGGGGGAAAGAAACCCTCATTCACTGCTACAGAGAATATAGATTGGTCCAATCTTTGTTGAAAACAATACGGACATTCCTTGAAAAATTAGAAATTGAGCTTACATATGACCCAGCAAATCCACTTCTCGGTATCTACGACAAGGGTCCAGAAACTCTATTCAAAAAAGACATTTGCACTCCTATGTTCATTGCAACATTATTCACAATAGCCCAAATCTGGAACCAATCCAAGTGTCCCAGAACACTTGGATAAGGAAACTATGTATATATACACAATGGAATACTACTCAGCTATAAGAAAAGACAAAATCATGCAACTTTCTGATAAAAGTAAATGGTCCTGGAGTTTCATGATGAGTGAAGGAGTGGGATAGATTCAGAAGGAGAGGAACAGATGTAGAATGATCTCCCTCATGCTTGGGATATAAAGAAATGGAGCAAGCAAATAACAAAAGTCCAAGGCAACAGAAACTAAGAAATGATCATTAGTAGAAAGTTTACCATGGCAGGGGTAATTCAGGGAAACAGGGTAAGAGTATGGGGAATGGCCTGGGATAATGGTGGAGGGAAGCATTTGCTTTGATATAGGATTGGTGCTGGAATGTTTCACACATGAAGTCCTAAAATAAACAGTATTGTGAACCAAGGTGCCTAAAATAAATTTTTTAAAAAAAATTTAATTAAGAAATTTAAAGAATTATGCAATTATGCCTTATTTTTATTATGTTCAATAATATGTCACCTGAGATACATGAGTAACAAAATGGTGGAAAAAAGAGAAAAAAGTTGCCTGTGCTGTGTCCAAGATGGGTTTTAAAACTCTTTAGGATAAAAAAGAAATCATGTTGGATTTAACTAAGAAAGAGAGAAGCCACAGAACAGAATCAGTTTTCAACGTCAAAGCTGCTTGACAGACTCCCTTGGAGTTCTGATAGTCAAACTTAGAGACTCCAGATTTTATCTGGCTCTTACAAATACCCACACAAGCAGCCTCAGAAAAGCAGTTTCAGCATAAGCTCGTCTGCATTTAAGTTATAAGTACTTCCCGAAGAGTTTTGATTTGATGGGAATGGGTCGCTGTGTAAGGTTCAGAAGGGCAGATGGAAAAGCAGAGGAGATGTGTTAAGTGTGAACACAACACAGTGGCAGTACTGGCTGCTTGAATGTGCCCTCAGAACAAAACCAAGGCAGGTTTTTGTCTGAGCCACCTATGCGTCCCTGTATTCACTGAGATCCACTCTGCTTTCACTGAAGCTCACGCCCACACAAGGCCTTGGATTCCTGAAACCACAGGATTTAGCAGCTATCAATGCCTTGTTAAGAACCCACTCCCTATTCTCTGGCTCAGACCCATGCCATGCCATCCGCAGCATTTAACATAGCCAGGACTGATCTTGGACTGCCACGGCTCAGGATTCCTTCTGAGAAACTGCATCTTGTCACAGGGGGGCAGCTACCTATTAAATATTATTTTGTCTCTTACTACAAACCAGGCACCTAGTGAGGCAGCTGAAAACACTACCTTTAAAAATCTAGCCTGTAAGAATACTGACATATCCAAAAATAATGTGCTTTGTGGAAGACTTTACACATTACCCCTTGAGGTACTATGTTTTTAAAACTTATTATTCAATAAAAGGCGATGCGCCATTTCTGACAATGAGTCCAATTGCCAATTAGTGTTAATATTCACTATAGTATTCAGGGGCACGTCATGACAAAATCCCTTAGTATGCCAACACCGTGTGTCTTGCACCCTGATGTCACTACTATCTACTTAGTGTAGAATGGATTCCAAGGCAACTATGTTGCCCTCGTACATGAAAGAATATTTAATCTGCATGAATGACTGCTTTTCTGATGTTTTCATCAATTCTCCAAGTAACAGATTAAGCTTTAACAAACTCATTTTCATACATAACCCTAATTCAATCAAGTTTAATAAAAGTCATTCTGGACTGCAATTATTTGCTAAAGAAAGATTACATCCAAATGGAAAGAAAAAATGGTGGGCATCACACAATACATGGTACAGATGCCACTCCATTTATGGAATAAGAGTCAACAACAAAAAATAGACAAACTGCTAGAAAAGGAAATAGATATTTTTCTCATCCTTCTGAAAATAAAATACACATGCTTTTATACCTGA